CGGCTTTGCTCCCGGTGCCTCTGGTCTGCTGGGGACCATCTCCAGCAGACCAGGGACACCGGGAGCAAAGGAGGCGGAGGGGAGCTGGGGTATAAGATGAAACCCTATCTTTTAATTAAAAAGATAGGGGGTCGTCTTATACACCCAGTCGCCCTATACGCCGGAAAATACGGTACACTGGTATGAATTCTGTTGATTAGAATTAGGCCAACACTTTAGTACTTGTCTAAAGATTGTTTTTGTAAGAGCACCTTTTATTGCTCACATTTTATAGTGAGATTTTTAATCCTCTTTTCTTGTGCATTTGGCTCATTGGTCAGATAAATCTGATAATATGGAAAATATTTAAGAGTTTTCTTTCCTCTCAAACTTTTTCTGTGGAAGTTTGGCTGGCAAGCTCAGATTTTTTGTCTAAGAAGCAAAGTGATTTAATTACTAGGACAATAATTAAGTAAGAACAAATGAGAATCTTATGGTGTTTCCCATTATGGTGATATGTCAGAAAATGTACAAGATGAAAAAAATTGAAAATATGAAACTATATTTAAGTAAGTATTCTGTTGTTTTACAGATATATTTCAATAAAATACATGACAGTTATCCATACTTCTCCCCCAAATTAACATCAGAAAAATCTGATTTGTCTTTCCCCAACATAAAGCTACTTATTTAACTAGAAAACATATTCCTCTAGGGGGCAACATTAAACAACAATTCAATTGCTATTGATGTGCCAAATGGGTATTACATTGTACTAGTTTTGTTTATTGAAATTTCATGCCAAAAGGATGTACATTTATTTATACTGAAAGATGATTTATGGCAAAGGGTGGCTGTTTATCATGGCAATAAATCTGCAAGTGCCATGACAAAACAATATTGTAAGTTGTTTGTCATAGGAAGTGTTGAGAAGATTTAAATAAATACCATTTACTTTATAAGTGAATTGCATAACACAATGTAGTGGTGTGTAATAGCTGAAAACTCAAGCTCTACTACATGGTATGTAGAGACTATCTAAGTTCTGATCATGCATTTGAATCTCTCTGGAGGGAAGGGTTTGTCTGAACAGATCTAACTGCAGGATTGGGACCAAAATTTGTAAAATATCATGAAGGAACCTTGCTCCATCATGGGCTGATGCCAGTTTTATGTCATCTGTGTAACTACATACATTTGTCTGTGAGACTAAATAAAAACAAACAAAAAAGCAACCCTAAGGACAGGGTTTCTGTCATGGAACCTTTGGCCATAACAAATGTACAACCTTGTATAGTAGATAACCATGGTAATATAGCAGGCAGCTTAAAAATATGGAATATGCTTAGTAGATATTTTAGACATGGGTAGATTCCATCATTTTCAGTTTTAGCATGAAAATGACTTGTTTAGTTTAAAAGACATCAGACACCAAACATATGAAACTATAAAACGGAAAAGCTGACAAACATTTTATACTTTGGTTTGCGCATAAGAAATATTTCAGTTTTAACATTAGGAGAAAACATTCACAGATATTTTAAATATACAGAAGAATTAAATGTATCATCATTGTGTATACAAAAATGTCAGCATCTGTGAATGGATGAAAGAAAATAAAGTATGTAGTAACATGATTTCTTAATTTAACTTCCAGAAATAACTATCAAGGCTTGGGCAAAACTATTTTCAGTTTGGAATCAGACTGAGTTTTCTCCCAATCACTTTCTTAATTAGGAGAAACATTCTTCATTTAGCCTCCAAGTACAGGTTGAACTTCTCTAGTGTGACACACTGTGGTCTGGCAACATCTGTGGTCCGGCATGATTTTAGTTAGTCGGTTGTCTGCTTATAGTGGGTTTGGCCAAGTTTCCCACCGTCCCATAAAGTTTGTTTACAGCCACCAGTCCTGGCTCTCAGTGTTCTGTGCTGTTATTCAGCAACTATCCTTAAATGCCTTCTAAGGGACCAGAAGGCAGTAGAAGTGCTAGTAATGATGCTAAGCATAAGCATGTTTTTTATGCTTTATCAACTTGTTTTCTTTTGCCAAAGCAGTAACAACAACACTTTGTTATGAAGAGAGCTGATAAGCCTTGGTTAGGCATAGGCTAATATATGGTTTATCAGTACAGTCAGACATTCTTAAGCAGCATTGCAAGCACTGGTCCATTTATTTGCCTCGGTGAAATAAAAATAGAGAAACCCACTCACTACAATATTGACCTTCTGTGGTTCGGCGAATTCTCTGGTTCGGCACTGGTCAAGTCCTGAGGGTGCTGGAGTAGAGAGCTCCAACCTGTAGGTGATTTCATCAGCTGCAAACTACAATTTCCCCAACAATCATTAGGTTGTGTAAAACGTTGTCAGTGGTTCTATCTCAGGCTCCCAATGTCTATATTCTGGTAGCACTGACCTGGAGTTTGCAATTATGTGAAATATTTTGAAAGGACAGAAGGTATCTTCCCTATGGGAAGATCTCCCAACACTAGGGCTACGTCTAGACTGGCCCCTTCTCCGGAAGAGGCATGCAAAGCAGGCAAGTCAGAATAGGGAAATCCGCGGGGGATTTAAATATCCCCCGCGGGATTTAAATAAACATGGCCACCGCTTTTTTTCCGGCTTGGAGAAAAGCCGGAAAAGAGCATCTAGACTGGCGCGAACCTCCAGAATAAAGCCCTTTTCCGGATGATCTCTTATTTAAATCCCCCGCGGATTT